TCTAGTGTCATTGTTGTATTGCTCTTATTAAAACAAAATTATATTAAAACAAAAAAAATTTCATCTTAAATTATTTAGACTGATCTTGTTTCAGCATTAAAAAAGTAACGGAAAAGTAACGAATCGTTACTTTTTAAGTAATGGTAACGAGTTATTTTTAATCAGTAACTAGTAACGGTAACTAGTTATTTTTTTAACTCGATAACAAGTAATGATAACTAGTTAGTTTTAAAAAGTAACTTTCCATTCCCTGTCATTATATAAACAAATCATTATTTATTGATTTTTTTCATGATTTTTCATATATCTTAATAATTAATTCAAATCTGTATAAATTTCTTCTACATACCTGTATAAGGATTTGTAGGATTGCACAGAGTCCATGAGCCGCGCCTAGATATTCTGTACCATAGTATGCATACATCAATGGACATGGACTGTTATGCACTCGTACATATGTCTTACCCGAAGCAATAATTGTTTGTGCGATTTCGTGCATTATATCAAGTGGTACAACGATTCTTTTCATCATGCGATTCAACCACAGCGCACCATATAAAAAACCGGCACGACCTACAAAAAATTCGTCCGAGCCACATTTCAGAAAGTTTACTTCTTTACAACGTGTTCCCGTTGATATGTAGCATTTTATCAACTCATTGGCTGTTACATCATCCTTTCGGGCGGCCGCAAGAACTGCGCCCGTTGCCAGAATACCCCAATCACCTGCAATATATATATATAATCAAATTATTTTTTTTTTATTATTTTAAAGATTTATTATTTCAAGATCATATCTTATCTTCTTTCAACAAATACGAAAGATTGATAATAAATATAATTATAGAAAGAAACTTTTTTTGCTGTTAAAAATTTTTTATTTTTAATATTTAAATTGTTTTAAATAAAAGAAATGCATTTATATAGTTGTCTTTTAAAAAAAGATATGTAATTACATATTGCAAATTCTAATTTTTGTTAAAAGCAACTATGTATTTTCTTTATTTTCAATTGATTCATCTTATTATTATACTTTTTTTTTATAAAAGTATTAAGATACTAAGGTAAGGTATTAAGTATTAAAGTTATTAAAAAATAAAGTTTACAGAATATCTTTGTGTCAAAATATGCTAGAATAAAGTATAAAATATCTCAAACAAATAATTTTTTATAAATCTACGTTAATACTTTTAGAATAACATGTAGAAGAATATTATGTTAAAAAATTATACGATTCTTTTAAAAAAAAAATGACAGTCATTTTTATGTGTAACTTTGAAAAATTAATTTTATGTGATATTCCTGATAGTTATATGTGCTAAAATGTATTGATATAATGGCATCTGAAATATTTTTAGAAACATTAAAACATACATGTATTATACCATTGTTGCAATATTGTATCACAGTAATATATTGCATCATTTATTCTAAAAACAGATATTTTACCATTGCTGCAATGTTAAACAGCAATATTGCAACATTTTGCAACGTTTTCGCAATGTTATAATCTTGCAATAAAATATTTAATAATTCTGCAATATCTATTAATATAAAACAATTTTATCTCATATTTCAATTTTTTTCATTATTTTCCTTATTTGGTTTAGCAGCTTATGTTAAGTTTTTACAAAATTTAAGTTATTAAAAAATTTTTAACTTTATTTTGTACTGTTACGTTTAGATCAAGAGATCATCCAGCCAACCAAGGCAAGATCTAATGAGTATCCATCCAGCTAACCAAGGATATTCCTTAGATCTTGCTTTGATTGGTTGGATCATCTTCAGATCTTGCCTTCATGAACTAGACATCTTATCATAAAAAGCTCGATAACATTGAAACAGATTACTTAAAATAGATAAAATTATAGTGCTTTGAAAGGGTCTGAATAAGAGCCACAAAAATTTGTAATAAAAAATAGGGAGTCCTATTTAAAACATTCAACCTGACCTTGTCCTGACCTTGGTGACGCCACTCAAGGTCAAACTAATAGTGCCAGTAAATAGATCTTTTGAAACCCTACAATTTTTATCTAAAATACTTTTTTCTACAATGCTTAATTTTCGAAATATTTTTACCATCCTGATACTTTTTATACTCCCTTTACCAGACCTGAACTTTTTGCACATCTTGAACATATCTCGAGTATCTCTAGATAGTTGGTTTGAGATATTGTGACTCAATATGCGCAAGAAAACATTAAAGTAAACATAAGAAAATTACATCCATGAGTTTTAATAATTTCGCTTTTTTTCCCTACTTTTCTTCATTTTCCACGTTTTCCTGTTACAGTTGTTGATGAAATATTATTTATATTTTATAAGTAAAAACACAATTCATTGATTATATGAAATTATATAATTTAATTAATCAAATCTTTGATATCTTCACTCACTTAATATTATGAAGAATGTAACAATTAAAGAGAAATATAGAAATGATTTGCAATATAAATATCTTTTATAGAACATTTTAAAGAAACAAATGCAATACAATCAATCTATTAATTTAAGAATATTATATCAAAAGTTTTACAAAAAGGATATTATAATCTTATTATCTAGACTTATTTGTATCAATATCCTATTCTTAGTGTAAGACCTTACAACCGTCACGGACCATAGTTTGCAAGGAAAAGGAACAAGCAACAACAATGTTCAAATTTTTAAATCAATATTAATTGAAAGAATAATAACTATCGATTATCGAAATTTGTTTAGTGAAATTACTATTCTCAACAGACAATTTTTATAGTCATTTCAGATTCTAAATTAAATACAGACTCAAAATACGTAAAAATATGTAGATATAATTTATTCAATCGCTTTAGAGCCCATTTTTGCATATATATTTGTATTCATATATATTTATATGTACGTGCTCTTGATATAAGATATCTTATTTTATCTTCCTAAGGCAAATTATTCGAAAAGTGAACCTGGCAAAATATTTCAGACAAATATTTTACAAAGATTTTACTATTTTAGTTCAAAAAAAAAAAAGAGAATATTAATTTTTAAAAGAAAAATTGAAATTAACGTATGAATGTGTTAAAAAACGTAATATTTATGTAACGTAAAATAGTAATGTTTTTGTAAATTCTTCAAAACTATAAAAAATTTTAAATTTTTCATTTCAACATTTTAATATCAAAATCAGAAAGATAGGGAAAAAAAATACACTTGTCCTTGTAAGTTTTTTGCTAATGCAAAGTATGCATGTATAAAAGATCATGTAGGAAAAAGCATGCAATATTTTGCTATACTATGATTCAATACAGACCAAGAAGAAAGCCAGTCCCGGAGCGTCTTTCACGACGTTGCACCATTGATAAAGATGAACGTAGATAATATTCAGCCAGTGACAAATACTTTTTGCTGCTTTCGGCTTTCAAAGCGGTACATTCGGCAAGTCGCATAAATGCATAAGAAATACCAGACGCACCAACATATAGCCCACCATCAGTTTCCGCACGCTCAGGTGGTTCTTTGTCAACAATACGTTGTACGATCTTGTGTAGGTTATCTTTAGCGACACATTGACTATTGTCAATATCGTGTTGTATCAATACCAAGTTGTTAGCGATCTCCTCTTCACGCGCACAGTATTCATTTACAAAATATCTGGATCGCCGTGACATAGTACTGAAAAAATTTCGAGATACGTTTTTTCCAATATAACAAACTACATCAATAAATGGCGAACAGTATTCAACATTGGTACGTAGAAGCATGGTGTAATAAAGATAGAGGTGTGCTCTTGCGCATGAAGAAGATGAACCAATGAGAACAAGTAGCTGGTCATATTAATATATCAGCCCAATCAATGTTTTTTCCGCAATATTGAAAATGTTAGGTTTCTCTGGGGTGCGTTCCAAAATGAATCTTGAGTGAACTTTAGAAGTTGAGGTTTGGTGGGGATGAGGTTAACCAAGATAGTAGTTATTTTGGAACGGGACTTGGTTACAAATAGGTAAGTTGGAACAAAATGGCACTTAAAAAATAAATTTAACTTTAACACTATAACAAAAATATTATGTATGTCTCAGGCATGAAGTCTTCTTCCAATGAGGAACTGAAAGGATACATTGATAAATACTAATACTGATAATCCGCAAAATTATTAGATATAATAAAGTCTGATAAAATTAAGACGATGCTGGAAGGTCGGAAAAATTTGTACGAGGCCGATAAAGCAGACTCTTCAGTGTCAGTGGTATCTCTAAATGAACTTCTTACAATATCTTCTGTCTCGCTCAAATACGTGGAATGTCCTTATCTAACTTATTGAAGTGCCATCTCTTGGAAAATCCGACACTACTGCCAAACGTAATTTTTGCTGTCTTTACCTCAGGCGAGCGTACGAA